CAGGCCACATGCAACGCACTCTGGTCGTTTGTACGAGGCAAGTACAAGCCTCTTACACGGCCCATGCGACAGTCTTATGAGATGTGGCTCAGTGCTATATAATACTGGACTCGTCATCACCACTTCATCACATCTTACTCATCCATCGTTCGACCATGGCGATACCAAGCGTCTTACAAAGCTTCCCTGTGGCGTCGCGCTGTGGCCACTGTCAGTGTCTCCACCAGTTGCCTCACTCTCTGACTGCCTCGTGCTCTGCCTGGGGACCTGCTGTGGCTGCCCCTGCTCCTGCTGCAGTCTCCGGGCCCTCAGTGTCACAGCCCTTCCCCGTCCTCTTGCCCTTTGCCTTCGCTTTGGCGGCATCTCATTGGCGAAAACTTGGTGTGTACAGTACGGCTGCTGCGCGCACGGGCATCGCATCAGCTTTTATACGGGTCGTGCGGTCCTGGTAGCTCCCACGAGGCATGCATGTGACACGTGGGAACGACGCAATTGGCCCGTCCGGGACCCGTGCGTAGACTGCAGGGATTCGGGGTGTGAGAAAATGGAAAAACCTGTACGTCACACCTGCGTGACACGTACTTGACCTGTTCTTCCTCCGTAAGTGTGAGATAGGTGCTTGTTACGAGCTGCTGCCCGTAGGCCGCTCGCAGGAAAAAAATGTGCTTTCCTCCCTACGGGCTCACCGGGCAGTCTACGAGCTTGGAATCTTGTACGAGTCACTTGCGAACCCCGTACGGACTTGGCCAAAAATCGCCCCTGAACTGCCTGTAGGGACCCGTGGTTATTGTGACTAAGACTTTCGACTGCCACCTCTGCCATCTGGCCCCAGATACGCGGAAGAAGATGGATGGATAGATGGAGCCGTCATCCATGCATGTTCTCTTCTGGGCTCTCTTACACTTAGCTCCTGTCACCTTCGCTCCCACATGACAATTCTCCATAAACATATAAAACCATGCTACAAAACTGTACACAGCAACTTCACAAACCTGACGCGATGTGCAGTCGTTTCATTAGCAGGACGCGCGCAGGCTGTGTCGAGATAGCGCACCGAAGGGGGAGTGACTTAGCGTAGGGAGACCCGGAGCAGATCTGTAATTGAACACGGGGGTGAGCCGTACGTGTTAAAATACATCCTCTTTTTGATTCTAAAAATAGCCGGTTGCGTTGGATCTCGTGTAGCTGCAGTTTTCAGTCCGGAGGTGACATGATTTCGCTGGCAGCCAATTTCCCAGATACCATCTCACTTTCACAGAGCTGTCGGGGGCTGTTAGCGTCTGTGCATCTGTCTCACCTGGGCGTGTCTCTCCCCCGGACACCGATAATACCCGCACACCCTCGCACGGACTCCCTGACACCTCCAGAATCAATTACTAAAGGCGAAAAACATAAATTAAACCAACTATTACAATTCCAATTCAAGGTGCGAATGTGTGATTTTTTTCTGGTGGAGGGTTTGTCAAATGCTTTTACTCCGTGGAAATGTTGTTGCTTTGTCTGGAATGTTTCACAGTGTGGCATTAAATCTTTCTATCTTCATGGAGACCAAACCAGACCAAGTTACAGGTTAGATCTGTGGAGAGGCGAGGCGACCCCCGCTCACAGTCAGAACGTTGTTTTTCCTGACTGAACCAGGACTGAACCAGGACTAAACCAAGACTGAACCAGGACTAAAACAGGACTAAAACAGGACTAAACAAGGACTAAAACAGGACTAAACAGGACTAAAACAAGGACTAAACAAGGACTAAAACAGGACTAAACAGGACTAAACAGGACTTAAACCAGGACTAAAACAGGACTGAACCAGAACTAAACCAGGACTAAAACAGGACTGAACCAGAACTAAACCAGGACTAAAACAGGATTAAACCAGGACTAAACCAGGTCTAAACCAGGACTAAAACAGGACTAAAACAGGATTAAAACAGGACTAAACCAAGACTGAACCAGGACTAAAACAGGACTGAACCAGGACTAATAAACCAGGATTAAAACAGGACTGAACCAGGACTAAAACAGGACTAAACAAGGACTAAAACAGGATTAAACCAGGACTAAAACAGGATTAAAACAGGACTAAACCAAGACTGAACCAGGACTAAAACAGGACTGAACCAGGACTAAAACAGGACTGAACCAGGACTAAAACAGGATTAAACCAGGACTAAAACAGGACTAAAACAGGACTAAAACAGGACTAAAACAGGACTAAACCAGGACTAAAACAGGACTAAAACAGGACTGAAACCAGGAAAACTAAAACCAGGACTGAACCAGGATTAAAACAGGACTGAACCAGGTGTAAAACAGGACTAAACCAGGTGTAAAACAGGACTAAACCAGGTGTAAAACAGGACTAAACCAGGACATTTTGGTTTTTTGAGACAAATAACGAATGGCATCATCGTTTTTCAAAAGCTGCGGTTTGCTTTTCCACACAACACAACGCCGACATTCTCAGATTTCTCCACTTTTCACACCGTTTTTACCCACACAAAACGCCGGCTCCGTGTGGACGAAACACTAAAACTACTAAAAACTTCACAGTTTCGACCAAAAAACTTTGTCACGTGAACAGGCCCAAGTAATCACAAGTAAAAAAGACACAACTCCAGTTAAGTTAAGGGAACAACATTATGACATTTATACTTTTTAAGCTTTTTCATCATGTTTAAATGTATTCTGTCTTCTCATCTTTTTCAGTTCAGTCTTTACTTTTATCAAATGGTGCCTCGGGTCTTTCTCCAGCTTCAGATTTGTAACAGTGTCACTATGTAGGTACAGTGGAAAGTGTATGACGCAGGCCCCCGTGAGTTTTCCCATCAGAAGTGTCATGGATTCCACAGTTATCTGAGAGCGGAGATACGGCGGGGGGAATTCACAGAGCAAATACACGAGTTTATCTCACACGTGGAGGAATGTGAGATGGAGAAATGTATTGTGCCGGTGAGTTTAGACCTGCTTAAATTCTGGTTTAGTCCCGGATTAGACCTGGTTTTGTTACTTTTAAAAAACAAATACTTTAAAAAAACAAACACTGGGACTGTGAGCGGGGTCGTCTCTCCACAGATCTGACCTGTAAGTGTAACACACGGCTGTGGAACCAGTTGCCATTAGAGATTAGACAGGTAAAGTCTGTACCTGGTTTTAAATCACTCCTAAAAATGCACCTTTTTTTTTTTAACAACAAGTGAGATGTACATTTCTTGTTGTTGAGTATCTTATTACTGGTCTCTCCAAACGAGCTGCAGAACATCCAGAACACTGCAGCTCGGGTCCTTGACTTGAACTAGGAAGTACGAGCACATAAGTCCTGTGCTCAGGTCTCTGCACTGGCTCCTGTGGCTCAGAGACTTTAAAGCAGCTCTGCTTGTACAAGTGTCTCCATGGCCGAGCACCAAAGTCCATCTGTGACATGTTAGTGTCATATGAACATCTCACACTCTGAGGAGCTCAGGGACCGACCTCCTGCTGGTGCCCAGAGTCACGACTAAACAAGGGGAGTCAGAGTTTCAGGTTCATGCAGCTAAAACCTGGAACAGTCTGAACATGTGAGACAGACTCTTCTGTGACGCTGTTTAAATCCAGGCTCAAAACATTTCTGTTTAACTGTGCAAATAACTGAAAGGTTTTCATTCCGCACTCTTCTCTCCAATTTATGTCTCTCTTTTTTAATTTTAATTATGATTTTAATGTATTTCTTATTCTGTAAAGCACTTTGAATTACTTTGTGTACGAATTGTGCTGTACAAATAAACTTGCCTTTCCTTGCCCACTGTTTTTACAATAAGTTGCTTCGGGGTATAAGTCGCACCAGCCAAAAAATGCGTAGTGAAGAAAAAAAAAACATATACAAATCACACTTTTGGGGGTAAATTTATGTTATAAAATCAAAGAGCAGGAACCGGCATTTCATCTTAAAAGTTAAGTTCTAGTAATAACAATAGAACAGAGAACAACAGACTGTTAACGTCACATATGAACAGTTCTTCAGATAAATATAACATAAACAACAGAACAGAACAAGTTTAACCAAACTCTCCATCTCACTCCAAATCACTAAATCCATTAAATTCTTCATCCTCGGTGTCACTTCTGAGCAACTCCACGACCTCCGGAGGTAAACAGAGCGCCGCTTCCTCTTCTGTGTCGCTGTCGTCAGACTCAGCATCAGTTCCAGTTAGAATTATTTCGGTCTTTCTGAATCCCGACAGGACGGTTTCGGTGTCACTGAAGTCCAGGCTTTGTCCATCCATCCAGTGACTTCAGGAAAGTTTCATGGTGCATCCTCCTGGTGTCACAAGTTCCTCGCTCACTCTAAACTTTCTTTCTGTCGCTTGATTACCATTTTTGGCTGCATATTTTGCTACTTGCAGTTTGTAATCTGCAAAATATGATTTTGTTTTTGGGGGCATTTGTGTTCAGTCTCGTCAGTCGTCTTCATAAGTTTGTTTACATTTTCAGTGGTGCAGAAGAAATGGTGCGATCGACTGACATGATACAGACAGGACAGAGGCTCTTTTTGTAGGAGACATGTGCAGTAGAGTGAAGTCACAGTGGTACAGGAGGAACAGGAGCAGCAGATACTGACACACAAGACTAGAGACTCTCGAGGCTGTCAGTGTGAACATTTTAATATATAAGTTGCACAGGAGTAGAAGTCGCAGGAAACATCCAAACCATGAAAAAAAAAGTGCGACTTATAGTCCAAAAAAAACGGTAGTTGTGTTCTTGTCTATTCTGTTTGTGTACAGCACTTTGAACAGATGTTAAGTTTTTAAAGTGCTTTACAAATAAAAACTGGTCTGGTATCTGACCTGTAACTTGATCTGGTTACAACAAAAAGTTGTGTTTTTATTGCTCAATACCTTGGAAAACCGTGGTGACAGGTTTCGCTTCTCCTCAGTTCTGACCTGTGACGTCCGGTTGGCGTCGCCTGCTTGTCTCCACGGAGATAGATAAGTTCAGTAACATATTTTGTGTTTGTTTTTCAGATATGTGATGGCGAGAAGGAGCTCCCCGACCACTGCTCCGTCCACATGTCCAAAGTCCAGCACAGTTTTGTCCAGGAGCACTTCCAGGCCCAGTACAAGTGAGTGACAAACAAAAACAACAACTCCATCCTCTATCTTCAGGCTGTACTTCACTTCTATTCATTGTTCAGGTTTTTACTTTAAAGGTGCATTGTGTAACTTTTATATTGGGGTAGAAGTTGTCCCCAGATAATGATGGTTTTGCCGGTAATATTCCACAGTATGATTAATGATTAAACTTATCAATGGAGAGACTGAGGAGGCTCATGATTCTGCTGCTGTGGTGAATCGCAGAAAGGGTGTGGTGACCTAATCCTGTGTGTCATTTGTTCATTCATTTTTCAAAATAAAACCAAAAATAAGAAAATGAAAAAAACAACAGTTTTCTTCATTATTTGTCTTCAGAACCAAAATGAAAAAAACAGATCATGATTTGTTTTTTTCCGTTTTCGACTTTGTGTTTAAATGAATAATGGAAAAAATGGATAACGGACGTCTCCCTTTTACGTGACTTAAACTGCGATGCCGGGACTGAACCAGGACTGAACCAGGACTAAAACAGGACTAAAACAGGACTGAACAAGGATTGAGTGTCAGCGCAGAGGTGCGCCCGTGTAGAGACTCAGGTGACCAGGACTGAGACCAGAACTGAGACCAGTTTAGTCCTGGTTTAGACCTGATTTTATCCTGGTTTAGTTCTGGTTTAGCCCTGGTTTAGACCCAGTTTAGACCTGGTTTAGTCTTAGTTCAGTCCTGTTTAGTCCTGGTTCAGTCCTGTTTAGTCCTGGTTTAATCCTGGTTTAATCCTGGTTTAGTCCTGGTTTAGACCTGGTTTAGTCCTGGTTTAGTCCTGGTTTAGTCCTGGTTTAGACCTGGTTTAGACCTGGTTTAGTCCTGGTTCAGTCCTGGTTTAGACCTGTTTTAGTCCTGGTTTAATCCTGGGTTAGACCTGGTTTAGTCTTGTTTGGTTTAGACCTGGTTTAGTCCTGGTTCAGTCTGGCATTGCAATTTAAGTCACGGAAACGGCAAATGGCCATTATGTGTATTTTCCATTATTATTATTTTTTTTTTCATATTGGTTTTGGAAACAAATAATAAAGAAAATAGTTTTTTTTTTTTTTTTCATTTTCTTATTTTTGGTTTTATTTTGAAAAACGAATAAACAAATGATACACAGATGTGACCTGTATCTGAAATGGCAGGTTGAAGGAGATGAATGCGTTTTTGTTGAGTCACGGGTAAAAATCGTGGCTCTTTGGACTCAGAGTGAGAGAGGAAAAAAGATCAAATTTCGAAACAACACATGATTAAACACAAGCTGCCTCTCATATCAGCTTGTTTAATATTTTGGAATCTTGAATCGTAGAGTGAGCCGTCCTCTCACTGTGGCTGCGATTGGTCTTTGTGGCCATAAAGACGAGCGCTCTTCAGAAGAGCTCCCCCGTGAACTGGACCATCTGGACGAAGCCTTTCCTGTTGCGTTCACCTGGTTCCCCCTGGACACTGCTGTGACGCTGCAGGACACCGAGGGGGGACGCTTTTGGGATTGCGGGAGGAGTTTAGGTGTTCAGTCCCACTTTTAGCAATAAAACTGGTGAAATAGTATAAACGCAACATCAATGGGCCTCATTCGTGAATCTTTTCTTTAAAAAATGTTTGTAGCTTCCACTTTAAGGTTACATTTACACTGAAACGAATCACCGTATTGGAAACGATCTGCGTCCAAACACGTCGTTTTTGTGTTCGCAGTCCTTCCCTATCCACACAGCTTTGAGTGTATTTGTTTACATTTTACAGAAACGAAACTTAAAACCGCATTCATTTGCATAAACTAAGAGCTCATAAAAACAGCTCGCTCCTTGTGCACTGATGCGGTTCAGCTTCTGTCAGACTAAAGGACATGACTCAGTGGAATATGAGTGTTCTTTCTGTGACAGAGGGGTGTTCTGCTAACCATGTCTGAAGTTGCATCATCCGATTTAGAACTGAGGAAGTTGGCAAGCGTGAAAACAGTCTTTTCGTGGACCGTGTACTTGCAACTAGTTCTAGCTCTGCTGTTTCCCGTTTGTCTCTGGTTTGATTAAACTGTTTTCCACAATAGCGTCACATCACCAATGTCACGAACCCAGCGAATCAGGAAGGAACAAGTCACAGTGACGTGGTCCAATAAGGACGCAATTAGAGCTCCTACGTCAGCGTATCAGCGTTTTCAGGCGTCCACACGGTGCCGGATCAGATCTGTAGTCAGATGAATTCATGGGAGTTGGCGGCACCAGATCGTTCAGTCTCTGGAGCCGTTTTCCATCGGATTAGTGTGGACGTACACTGCATCCACAACGAAAAAAACTCGAATACGAACTAGTGTGGATGCTGAGAGAACTCCAGAACCAGATTCAGAACCAGATTCACAAAGTGTTCATAAGTTCGCAAATTCCTTCTTAAAGGTTGTATGGAGGATTTTTGTTTTTGTTTCAAATTGTCAGTGAAAGTTTAAAATACCATTACAGAGACGCAGCAGCTTTGGAATTATGATGACCAAAAAAAAAAAGAATGAAAATCCATCAACTGTGGACGTGTTGAGGCCAGATAAACTTCAGCCAATAGAAAACAAGGCTCCCTCTTTTTCTATTGGCTGTTAGGTTGTCAATCAAACTCCCTAGGTTTCTATTGTAACTGACGGGATTATGTGGTTTAAGCAGCGGTTCTTAGAGGCTTTTTCAAACTGTCGCTTCCTCACAATTTGCACAAAGTTTGTCGCAACGGTGGACGAGATCCACGACCAGTTCACCGCAAAAGAAAGTCGGTTTTTGGGGTCGCTGAAAGAAGAAGAGAAGAGGAAAAGCATCGAAGACAAACTGAGGTGATTCTTGGAGATTCCTTCCAGCAACGGCGCGACTGAAACAGGCGAAGGGTCTAAAAACTGACGCGTCGGTCGATAAAATATTTCTAGACAGGAAACTTCAACAGTAATTCTGAACACGTACGAATGTAAACAAGTGTGACTCTAGAGTAAAGCGGCTGGAGGAGATGTTTCTACTGAGGGAGAAACATCTAAAAAAAATTGAAAAAGGACAGTCACTGTATTTCTCTTCCCTTAAAAAATCTTCTATACAACCTTTAAGTGACAGTTGCGCCTAATTCAGCAACATCCAGCAGCAAACAACTCCATGCTCATTTTTCATATTTCATTTACATAGAAAATTAATATGAATTTGGTTAGAAACACCCTTTGAACTTCCAAATATGGCCAGTATGGGTTTGACACGTGAAAGCGCGAGGGAGAGAGTGAACGAGGAGGTCAGATGGAGTCTACAGACTACGGCTCTTTTACAGCTTCAGTGGCAATTTCAAATGTCCAAACCCATATAAACACACTCACTGAGGAAATATTTAAGTCAGGGGTCATCAAACAAAGGCCCGTCACACCCCTTTGACAGGTCCCCCAGCCCCTCTGCCCCCACCACTTGAACTGGCCCTTTTTTTTTTTTCAAATTGCTTTTTGGCAAATAATAACACGTCTGCCTCTTGTATTTTGTTGATAAAAAAAAGAAGATATTTATATGAAGTATTTATATTTAAATAATTGTATGATATATTTACATTTCCCGCCAAATTTTCGTCACCTGGCAAGCTCGAGATCAAACACTGACAGTGAACAAACGCGCAGAGTTCTGTAGTGCAATTAAGGACAACAAAATGGCGAGTGTTGAAGTACAAAAAGTTAACAGAGAGTGCCAAGTTTTCAAAGAACAGTGGGCGACCGATTACTTTTTTGTTCAGTGTAAGGATCATGCAGTTTGTCTGATATGTAGAGAAAGTGTGGCGGTTTTCAAAGAATATAAGCTGCTGACTTGCAAGGGCAAACGAGAGACGATAGGATTCAGCGGATGAAAGGAGGACCGGCTCCTCAACAGCATGTGTTCCTTCATCGGCCGACCTGACCACGGCCCCCATCACAGCCAGGAGCGATAATGTGTCATAAACTTGAAATAAGTGGACGCTTTTGTTGTGTTTATCGTGTTTTCCATGACCGTGGACCTGTGGTAAAGGGGCAGGGGTGCATAAGAGTGCGCTCTGGTCATGGGGGGTTCAGGGGGGTGATGTTGGCGTTGAGTCCAGCGCTGTAACCAGACTCAGGGCTGTGACAGAGGCCCATATGGAGGCACTGGGGCTGGGACAGACTGAGACTCACTGCAGCCTGTAAAGTCTGTTAGACCCAACAGACACATGCTCCATAAAACGCCTCATAAATGTTCTTGGATCACATCGTAATATGTTTATAGGAAGTAGAACAATAAAATCATGGAGGAATTTGATTTTTTTTGTTGCATTATCAGAGCAATAATATTCTAAAACTGTAGAAATTCTGTTCTTACGAGTGCTCCTGACTCTTCTTCCAGTAAAACTTTTTCAGTAAAGTTTCATGAATGCCAAAAATGTTCTTAAGAATGTTTTATGAATGAGACCCAATGAGTTTAATCCCATTGGCTGGAACATTTCGAAGAAAGCAATAACATCTCCACAACACCACTTGCTTGTCTCCGTAGAGAGAGTTTTTAGATGGACAACTTCAATGCATGGAACCAGGAAAAGCGATAACATTTCCCTGGAGACAAGACATCTCTCTCTTATCTAATCACTCCCCTGATTGATTTTCTAACTTTTGCAAATGCAGAAACACCACGAGTATGTAACTCTAGCCTCAGCTAACAGTGATATTCAGTCAAGACAAACTTTGGGCTTTTAAACGACTGATCCTGTGCACCATCTCACTGTGTGTCTGTGCAATGTTGAACCATTTAAAGTCCTCGCGTCGTGTAGTGTGGCATCTGGCAATTTTATAAAACGGAACTAATTATGCAGCGAACACCAGACTTAAAGGGAAAGTCCGGAATTTTGGACATAGGACCTCATTTCCTAGTGAGCCAGAGTGTTGGAGACGTGTGGAGACACTTTTTTAAATATTCCATCCAGTTCTTGTATTTGCGGAGGTCGCTGGTGCTAGACTAGTGCATGTCAATGGCCATAGTTATCCTGCCACTAGAAACAGTCTTACCCA